AAAAGCAAAAATGTACCAAAAATCCAAAACAATAAACTTTCCTGATTTTATTTCCGTCCTCGGAAATGCGAATGAACACACATAAAAAAGGAGATAACAGACTCGAACAGGGAAATTTCTAATCACGAGGTCCGGGCATCACCCTCTAGAACTCGATTTCATTCCCATGAGTCCTATCGCCTAATACTCGAAAGGCATGTACTCACATACAGGAACCAATCCGACTCGCTCTATGCTCATATGTATACCTTCTTGCTTGGGAGGGTGATCAGTCCTGCCCAAGCTCAGGCGTACATCTTCTTGCAAAGGACACAGTCCGGTCTGGCCTATACTCATGAGTATAAATGACTTGCTTCGTACCTAACAACACACCAGACCTCAACAAGTCGTTCAGTGTATTGCCAGCGTACTCCGACTGCCCCACCATCAAGGTGGTCACGGGAAGCGAAGTTTCAGTCTCGTGACCGAGTCACACTGATAACTTGCTCACGATTTCATCACAAACCGTGCGTCTCCATCCGAGACCACAACACGGTACCACATACATAAAACATGACACCATCAAGCTCGCATTCTCATGATATCGACTCCACGAGTCGAACGCAACCCTTATGCACAAACATAAGGCTTGACCCAAAGCAACACGACATCCCCAATTTGCCGACTTGAGAAACTCTCAAGTAAAACATAGGGACTCATCGCCTACATTCCTTAATCAGAAATCATCGATTAAGGATTTTTACACATTTTAGTGGAACTTGGAGCTCTCGGTTCAAGGTTCGGGGTAACATAAATAGCTCAACAAAAATTAGTCGATCAACGAAATGAATCGATACTGTCACCCAAGGCGGCACGCTCGCTGGCGCTGCATAAGCGGAGCGCTGGGACGCGTGCGTACCCACCTACTCGGAGACCAAATGTAAGGTCGAGGTTTGGCCGCACACGCTGGCCTGGGGAGTTTGTGCGTTCGGTGATGGTGGCTGCAGTTCGCATGCGAGTCAACGGTCGGCCGCGCGCAAGCCTCCCGTCTCTCAGCACGGTCGTGCATGCTTGGCCACCACTTCGCATGGCTACACCCAGTCAGGGTCGACGTTTGGTCTAGGTTTTCACAACAAGTTACAATTTAAGGCTACCCAAAAGGAATGGTTTTACCAAATTTCAAAAATTTTGAGGTCAACAAAACAACATATATTTCAGGTATTCCACAATTTCAAAGTTCAAGGGTTTCCAAAAAATAAGTCCGAGTTCCAAGTCCACTTCCTTTCCCAACGACACATTCTAATACACGAAGAGATCAACGATTGAGATAGACGAGAATTCTCAATGAAATTCTAATACAGTTATTCAGTCGGGAATAATCTCCAGTCAGCAGCTCCTGCCGAGAGATACAATAACTAGTTCGCCTCGACTCTTCTGACTAACAGCGTCGGCCGACACGTCAGCTCTTCGTCGGGTAGCTAATCGTGTCAGCAGTCCTAAACGAGCGCAACTCACTTCCCAATCTTCACACTTTGGAATTGAACGCGAAGTTCCTCCCACGATTCCGAAAGGAGTAGAAGAACAAAAATTTTCACGATGAACAAGATTTTGAATAAGGATGGTTCTGCACTATACGATGCGCTTGCTTCTGACTCGACTATCCTCCTTAAAGGCTTCTGCATAATCTTTTAAGGTGGAAAAATACTCCATCTTCTTATCGAACCGAATTGTGCTGGCTTCAGCTCCTGCGCGTTTATCTCGATGCCGAGCGTGAACAATTATCGTCTCCCTCGAGGTTAGGTTATTCACAAAAGTGGCGACAGAGAAATTTTGCCCTCGAGTCTTCGTGATATATTAGCGATGGTATTCGAACGAAACTCTCCTACTTCGCAAGAGAAAAAAGATAAGCAGAAACAAAGAGATGCTTAATCTCACTTGAAATCAAGTTTATCAGAACAAAGTCAATTCCCAACATAAGATAAACCAGAATTAGCTAAACTTCAAGAGAAGCGAAATTTAAAGTTGGGAAGGTTAAAATAGTTTACACAGCGAATCAAAAATAGGGGAAGAACAAGCGAAATCCTCAAAATACGAAAATTGGATAATAAAAAGAAGCCTCAATCACACTTGAAAATTGTTTGCCATGTGAATGGGAAAAATGTTTGCAAGAGTACAAGAAGACAAGAATTTAAGAAAGGAAGCATGACTGCTTCGCCTTCACGAGTCCACGATCCACTGGTTTCATCATTGGTTCAAGCTGCTCCCTTCGTTTCTCCATTCGAGATGGCACGCGAATGGTCCTCATCCGAGGATACAAAAAATATATCGAGAGAACTGTTATACACAGAACTCGGCTCGATAACATTATATCGGATTTCTAAACAAACAAAACCTCAGGTTAGAACCTAACTCTATGCTGCTAGAGTTCAAGTTCATACAACTAAGGTTCGCCACTCATCTAGAGTCCCAGAACGTTTAAAAGTAGGAGGATAAATTCCTAAGCCCCGATTTACATATCATAACATCCCAATATTTCACATAAGCAATTCAAAATTTACTCAAGTATTCATACCTGAGTTGGCACGGCACAACGGAAGCGAGTGGTCATAACTTAAGGTCAAAGTACATAACCACAATATTCACACTAACCAGTCTACAGAAACGCAGACTGGCTCTGATACCAAACTGTAACGCCCCACTTTTTATTGCCGAAAATCAGAACAAATTTTTCAAATTTATTTCAAAACACCTGAGGCGTTACTCATTTTCAAAGCGAACTTCAATACTTAACCATTTTCTCAATACTCAAACAGTCATCAATATCAATCATCAATCATAAATCATCAATAATTCAATCATCAATATTACTAACTCCCAAAACGGGTTTTTCCAAAATGAATTATTCACCCAAACCGGGTTCCAACAATATTCATAAGTTTGAAGGAGCATCTCCTTAACATTATTCAATCGTAAATCCAGAATTCATAAAAGCAATAGTATTCCAAGATCATAATAAAAATCACATAAATGCGGAAGCATAAACATTAATAGGATAGTCTTATAGACCGACCACCACTCGCTTGACTCCGCCGTCGCACCTGCCTTGCTTAACCTGAAACGTGAATTTCAGGTGGGGATGAGCACAAGAGGAAAAAGCAGTGCTCACCACTATGCAATAAACATTATTCACAATAATAAAACAGTGATCAATAATCAATAAGGCATGGTCGCAGCATGTATACGAAACAATCAATCATCCCAATCTCCCATCAATCATATTAATAATAGACTCATGTGCACACCTATAGCAATAGACTACTGCCGAACTATATACCAAACGCCTTATCTAAGGCCTCACAACGAGTGTCCGGCCAGTAGGAGTATCCCGTCGGCCAAGGCCTCACCTTGGTCTTACCAACGGGGTTGTCCAGCATAGGGACCTTTAACCCAGGTCTTACAGC